GTAGCTTGAGTTATGAATTTCTCAAGTTTTAACTCTTTTCTTCAATGGTGGAAGGGGGCTACGGGTTTTGAAGGAGAAAGTGAGGAAGATGATGCACTCTCACTATTTGTCATGTGCCCTAATATCCCACTTAAGTGAGGTAGGCCCCACAAGTGCCACCTCATTTAAAATCACTCAAACACACCACTAATCTTCAATTAACTCTGAAATGATGATTTATTGAAATGCTTTTGAGCTGTTAAATGCAAATGCCTTATGATATGTATGTAGTGTTCCACCTAGACGGTAAGCCTGAGTATGTAGCATCATACAATATGGTGATCCTATGGGTGGGTACAAGGAGCGTCTTGTACTACTGAGGGTTGTAGACGTATGTAATTCTTGCATTTTCTCTAGCCAGTAGGATTCTGACACACATTACATGATTATATGTTGCATTGTACAGATTTTGGAACTTGTATTGTTTACTGTTTTAGAACTTATATTGCACATGTAAGTGAGCTTGGGGTGGAGAGATCCTTGAGAACCCCTTGTCTTACTGAGATTTCTTTTTAGAGATCTCACCCCACGTTTGGGGCACATTTTCAGGTTCAGGTATCTCGAAGGTTGATACCTCAGGAGGCAGGAGGCTGGAGCTTAGTTGACTGATTTTATGCCTGCTGTTGTGCTGATTTTCTGGATGATTATCATGCTTTGCTTTTGGTATATCATTATATGGTTATTTGAGCTGATACTCTATTAGGCTTTGTTGCCCTATTTGGTGAGCATGAGGATTGTCCATGGCACATTGATTATGTCTTGTTTAGTTAGATTTGAGTTGTACAATCTATCAGGATATTGTTCAGTCTACGTGTTGTAGTTCCGTGACTAGATACACACTTATTTAATGAGGTTATTCAGTTAGCTTTTATTGCAATTTACATACAGACATTATTTTGAAAATGGATTAAATAATCTATTTGGTTAATATTAATGACGTCATAATCGAAAAGAAAAGTTAGCTTCCGCATTTAATTAGTTGCGCTATTGCCATATGTATGTTTAGTACGCCGGGTGCACATGGGGTGTTACAATTTGCATATTTGATGTTGGGGCCAATGCTTTTTGACCGCTTTTTATTTTTTGTTAGTTAATGTGATTTCCTTCATTTTGTCACATCTAGCTATAAATTATTTCATGTGAAAAATTTCAAGCCCCTTTCCAACAACTATTGTTCTCCGATCTATTACATGTTGTTTTTTTCTAGTCATAATCAAGTAGACTTTGTCACATTTTTTATTTTTAGGGTCAGATTCTATTTTTGATAAACAAAATTTCAATTATAAAATAAGGATAAAGTGGACAAGTTAGTTTAATTACTAAAGTTAAAGGTGGACTTAGGCAAAAAAATTACAAGGGGATAATTGATAAGAAAAAAAAAAGCATAGGGGTGTAAGTGATAAAAAAAATCACATGGGGGGATTATGAACTTTTCTCTTATTTTTAATACTATTTTTTTTTTTTTTTTTTTGAAATTATGTGCTAACTTTCACTAAGTGCAAGAATCTACTTTCTATTAACAGGTCAGTATGAGATTTTTTTTCTAATAATATTAAATGTTAAAAAAATATCAAACTGTTGTAAAATAAAAGGTAACTAAAAAAAATTAACAAAGGTAAAGTAAGTAACTATAAAAGAATAACTATAAGAAAAAATAGAGGTAATAGAGAGGTAAAGGAATAGCTTCTTCTTGTATTGTAGTATATTCTGAAGCTTTGTACATGTCTCTATTTATAGGCTCTCAAGACAAGGTAGGTTACAATTAGAGGTGTTAAAAAAGTAGGGGCATTTCAGGGACATTTGGCTTGGCCTGTGTAGGCCTGACCCGTCTATATTGGTTGTTGAATACAGACTTGAACTTGTGAAAAAGTTGACATGTATCTAATAGATGTTGTTATAGCCTACTTATATGGCTCATTCATTCGATATTGAAATTTATATGAAAATTCCAGACGGATCCAAAATGCTATATTAAAATTCCTGGGAAATTTGTTTAATAAAGCTTCAAATACCATTCAATGGATTAAAGCAATAAAGACATATTTTTAGATATAAGGTAAGTTTTGATGATAACAAAGTGGCAACAACAAAAAGAGAACAACCTTAATCAAGAGCAAAAACATCATGTCTATATGAAGATTAAAGATATACGATAAAGTCATATAAGAAGAATGATGAGTCATCAAAGTGGGCAGAGCAAGGATGAGCATTGAAAATCAAAGGCAACAACAAACCATGGATAACATCTAAAAAAGCTCAATATAATGGTGAAAAAGGATCAAAACCAACAAAGGGCCAAGTATTTTCAATCTAACAAGTCAAGTGCAAAAGTCAAGAGAAGCATCCAGGTCCAAGCACTAAGATAAGAAGTTAAGTCCCAAATCTTTTTTAGAATTATATCTCTAGGATTTAGACTCACATGTAAGGGTATATGGTATATTGCATTCTATGAGCTCAAAGTAAACATGTTTTTCAAATTGCATAATTCATAACCTTTTATATACTTAAAAGAAATTTTAAAAATCTATGGAAAAGATCATTGACATGTTTCATATCTTCAAAACATATTTATCAAGTCAAGATCTTTCACAAAAGTGGTTGGAAGCAAGCTAGAACATATTTGAACTTAAAATTTATTGCATAATTTGATTGCTGTCTTTTAGATAATTTTTTGTATCAAAGATGAAATATTTGGATTTGTGTTCTTCATAGAAGTTGTAGATATATCTTTTATCTTTGCAAAGAGACCAATATCAATTAATCTGATAAGAATAACTCAAGTTATACCAAAATACAAAACAATGTTATTGTAGTCAGGGGATGATTCAAAACCTTCACAAAAGGATTTGAATCTCTTGTTCCCATAAGAAAGGATTTGAATCCCTCATGAAAAGCATTCAAATCCTTACTGTCCTGAATACATATAACAGCTATAAATGACTAGTTTTCAATAGGAACACTATATATGCATTCTCAACGGCTCTAAAACATTTGGGGCATCATTTCCACACATACTAAGGATAATTTAAGAACTTCTACACTATCATTTACATATTCTTTCATATTTTTCAAAGATCAAATATATTTGAGCTCATATTTTGAAAATTCATATACTTATAGTACTTCAAGTTGTATATCTACACTTTGAGAGTGTATATTTATTTCCAAACACCTTCCTTTTGCATTCTTGAATTGAGAGGGTAGTGAAACCCATTGTATTAGAAAGGTATCCAAATATATAAGTAAATTTGGAGTGAAGTGTAAGATTTCCAAATACCCATAAACTTGGAGGTTGTAAGGTATCAAAGAACCTGAAGTCTTGGAAGATTGTAGCGGTTTGTCAACCACATGTAAAGCTTGATAGATAGTGAAAGAATTGATCGAGCGACTTCAGTCTGGACGTAGGTCATAAGTGGTGGTGACTGAACCGAGATATATTGTGTTTGCAATTCTCTAAACTCTTTATTTCTAACATTTTAATTGCTTATTTGATATTTTGTATATGCTAGTATAGGTTCTATAATTGTAATAGATTATATGTTATTTATAGCTTGTATATATTGATTAGCTTTTCATATATCAAAGTTTGCTTGATATATTAATTTAGAAACTAGAATGGGACTTTCGTAAAATTTTTGTAATACTCAATTCACCTCCTCTCTTGAGTATGGAAGCCACATTCCTAACAATATTAGGTATAATAACCTTTATAGAATATTTATCTATCCATTAACTTATATAAATAATATTTTAAAGAGATTTTACATGGATAACGAGCACTCATTTAGTATGCCAAAGTAATATATAATTTTTTTTGTATGCAAAGTAATATATAATTTTCATCAAACTAAGTTTTTCTTAATATTTATAATGAGACAATCTCCTAAACAAGATTTCGATCACAAATGAAAGCACAACTATTTTTGTTCAAGAGATAATTCGACAGATTTATTTATTAAGACATCGCCTAATTCAAGTTTTGAGAAGCTAATATATAAAATTGAGATTCGTAGACTTAGAGATATTAAATGATATTATCATTGAGGGGGTAAAATATGTACTACACTCTTTTTTCCTTCATCAAGATTTTGTCTCATTGAGTTTTCCTGTTATGGTTTGTAATGAAACAGTTTGCAATACATATTACTAAAAATGTATACTCTTTTTCCTTCAATGTAATTTTTTTCCTAGTAAGATTTTAATGAGATACCTTATCTTAATAGACATTCAAGGGGAGAATTACAAATAATATTAATTTGGATTTCCATGACTCCCAAAGAAATATAATTCCTCCATAAGTTAATAATATGTAATTAGAGCTTATAAATAGAGTTCATATGGAATTTCCATCTATACTCTTCCAGTTCACTATGATTCCCTTATCTCTATTATTTTTCTAATTATCTATTGTTTTATAACAATTTCAAGCATTTAATTAACTTAAATTATTCAACTTTATTTTCTCAATTTATCAACGAAGCTTTGTGCTTGTTCACGAGCAAACCTTGATTATAGTGGAGAATATTAAAGCTAGCCCAAATTAAACTTGTATTTACCGGAATTTCTTGTATCTAAAGATACGGGTTGAAATAACTTGCAAATTTGACTTACTTTTTAGCCTAAATTTCTTGCTCAATTATTGGTATTACAATTTTATAAAATTAAATACATGTATAGATTAGTAAAAGCTCATCTGTTTATAATTTAAAATAGAATCACCTTACAAGAACTTCGTACATATTCTTAATTTTGTAGAAACAATAATATCTGTTCACCTGAAGGGTTGTAGTACTGCCCAAGTATTTACAAGAATCTGCCTTAAGTTGGACAAAATAATTTATAACCATCTAAGCACCGGAAACATGCTATTGCTAGAACCGTACTCCTATTTCGTACTAATAGTTTAATCAGCAGAGTCGAAACATCATCAACATCATCCAAATAAATACTGATATTCCCTTTGATTTTATAACTTTTCCCCAGTGAGTCATTAGAAGAACACCATCCTAGATATAGAAAAAAGAAAATACGCTATCATACAGTTACAGATTATAAACATATTCTGGGGGCTGATATATGACACTGTCAAGCCTTGATTACAACGATTAAAGATAACTTCAATTGCTCACAATCATATTATTCTGTAAGGTATAATGCTACATGCCAGTATGCTACAATCACCTTCAGAGACTTTACCACGAAAATAAGACAATTTACTGACGAGCTTATCATTCCAATAGATCTGGCTCATTTTCCAAATCCCATACCACAATTCTTCCATCCAATCCTGTAGTTTCAAGGAGTACGCATTAGCAAAAGCAGACCAGTCGAAACTGGCAAAGAAAATTATCAGCACGAAAAAATAACAATTTCAGATGACTATGCACCGTCCACTAACCTGATGTGCTGAAACGCCTTACCAATGTCCCATGCTCCCCAAGAGGCATGATACAACTACAAGCCCAAAATTCACGAGTCATTAACAGTTTATACAGACACAAGTTGCCCAAATCCCACTGTTAGTCGACCTCATCCATTTGTATCGTGGGTGGGAGAAAGTCAAATAAATTGGACAGTATTGAAAAAACCAAGCGCATTTTACAAAGAAAATATATAACATAATCAACCACTGTTTAGGAATAGTAGGGAGAAGATCATGAGGGGGATATATACTTTATACAGTTTTCGTGAACAGCTCCACGTGTTCTTGAAGTTTCAACAGAATCATTGTTCACTCCATGCTTGGATTGGCCATAAAACTTCCCAAATGCTTCAGAGAACTGATTAAAAGACAGAATTTGATAAAAGTTGGGAAAAGAGTAAACCTCAAGTTAACAACACAAACCACAACAGAAATAGCTACAGCTAACGACCATATGCTAATCTATCTCAAAGCTTGATTTAGCTGCATATTTCACAATAGCAGTACAATAAATATGGGTTTTAGTTAACGCTTAATAACAAAAACAAGACATCATGCAAAGAGTAAAATAAGGCGACAGATGAAATAAACCAATTCTTCAGGTAATGCACACGTGCTCACCAATGTATGATAAACCAACAAGTACTGAATAGGATTAACATTGATAATTTGCCAAGGTTTGTTTAAAGTCTAAAGGCAAGACAACGGTAACCCCCAATTGATTCATGTCATGAGCTACTGAAGTTCATAAATAGTTGATCGTTGTCCTTTTTGACATTATGAGGTAGGCTATAGACAGGTATAGGGGTTTAATTTAAAAAAAAAATTAGTCAGCAATGGATCAGTTCAGCATCTTCGAAGCATTTCTTAATAACCAGTGTTTTAGCTTTTACAAGATTAAAAAAGGAAAGATGCCACAGAATTGTGCCCTACATTGTAATGCATAATTTTCGTCCGGGGCTTGACTTATGTTTGAGGATATTATATTCTCTGTTTCTAAAATGAAATTTAATTTTCTAAAAGAGAAAAAAAAAATTACAGGTCACAATTGATTCTGATCCATGCATTTTTGTTTGCAAAAATAGTAGCTTTTTTAAAATTTTGTGGGGTTCAGCTAAATGTTATAATGAGAGCCTCTTCATTGGACATCCAAATGGACTGGAAGGGCCCCTCAAGCTGATGGCTTTGTTTTTTTTCCCAGTATTTTCTTTTTCCTTTTCATTTCTCAAGACTTGTGTTAGGAGGATCACGAACCCTCTGCACCAAGCTAGGCACTATGTTGCACCGATACGAAACACGACACGACACTCTGACACGTTAATTCTAAAAAATGTTAAATTCGATACGTTAGGACACATTTTGATATTAAATAATATTTTTAATTTATGTAGTGTATATTATATTTAATATTCAATAATCTAATAAAAAAATGAAGTTAAACTTATAATACCCATCAATTTTGCAAAGAAATATAAGATATCACAAATATTTATATTAAATTCAATAAAATGGTAATCGTAATCCAACGAATCTATTTGTTGGAACTACAAACGTAACGCAACGCAATATTTGAACCCTTTTGAGTCTCTGCAACGTGTATTAAAGTGTCAGGAAGTGTCGGACACGACACGTCGGTTTTTTTGAAGTGTCGGTGCATCATAGGCTAGGCATGCCACAACTTCATTAGTTTTTTCACAATCAACATTTATTAAGATTGGTGAAATTGATTTCTAATAAGTCTACGAAATATGACTTAGAACATATAGTTGTTGATATGAAAATGTGGTAAAAAGAATACCTTTTGTGTAAAACTAACCCCAATTACATTTAAGTTGAAAATATATGGTGTAAAAAGTTAATGGGTTATTTTTTGATGTTTCAGGTCCAAATAGATGAGTGAAAGAAGTGGGCTACTAAAGCAAAAGAAAAAAAAAAGGGCTATGGAGTTCAAATCAGAAAGGCCCAAAAGAGAGACAGAAAGAAAAGAAAAGAAAAGTTGTGTAGCGTAGGACATATTTTGAAAACACAACTTCCAAGCAGTCGAACCCTAGCCCCCCTCACCATTCGAACCACCATCTCAAGTCAACCACAATCGTTGCATCGACCTTCCAGCTCGATTTTTGTTAGCCATCTAACCACAAAAATCCTCTCCTTTTAGTGATTCACTTAACCATCCGTCTAAAAGTTTGATTCTAACCATTATCCCCTAAAAAGCAAACACTGACCCTAACCGAAAAGTGACCTGGAGGTTGTTACAATCGGGTAGTGAGATTCTCTTTGGTGGAGCGCTTGGTGAGAGCGTGGAGCAAGAAAAGACACGCAAGGAGTGCTCGTGTGACTCATGTGGAAGGAGCGCATGTAGAGGCTGCTGGTGAAGAGGCCCAAAGCCCATGCATGCGAAGGAGGAGATATAAAAGAGAAGAAATAGCTCATTGAATGGATTCTCTCTTCTGTAATTTCTCTTCTCCAATTTCTTTCGTTCAAGTTTTATTTTGAGCTTTTGGTACTGTAATTTCTGGTTGTTTTGTTTTGTGAATTTGAGCATAGTGATAAGGCTATTTCTGTCAATAGTTCTCGGGCTGTAGATTTAGATTTCTGCACTTTTTATTTTCTTTGTAGTTTCTTTCATTCCTGTCATTAAGCTCAATCCTTATGGATTTGAGCTAAACTCTCAAAGGGTTGGGTGGTTAAGACCCCAACTACAGTGACTGATGTTAATTACTTTTATGATATTAATGTTTAATTTTCGTAGTTCAACTCTGCTTTATATATTTGAATGTTCTTCCATTTCGGCCAAATGGAATATGTTTGTGTAGGAGAAGTTTATTGGGAAATATTCGTCTCTGGAAAATGAGTTTACTCATGGACTCAAATAAGGGATTATTTGAGGGAGTATTTCAGAAATGAATTTTACTCTTCCATGTGGCTATAAGGACCTGAGCTTCAAGCTCTGAATCTCACTAGCCTAGGGATAAGCTGTGTAGGAACAAAGGGAAAAAGATTTTTAAGGGATTAAAAATCTACATTAGTCTGCCAACTGGAAAATAATTGTTAAAGAATTTTGCTAAGTAATTATACATCAGGATCTGTAGGGAAGGAATCACACTCAACCCATTTTTCTAATTAGACTTCTTAAAACCTTATCAATTCTGATTTTTCTTTATTCACGTAAATTCTAATAATTCTATGAAAATATAATCAAATAGAAAATCCCAAAAATAATTTTCTCAATTTATTTTATTATACTTTTTATTTTGTGTTTTAAGCAAGTGACTTCAATTTTAAATCAGAAACCTTCAAGTGAACATTAATTTCTAGTTTCTCTTATTTTCTGTTTACCCAATTTAATCTTAATTTCTTTTTGAAATTCAGTTTTGAGCAATTGCAATTTTACTTTTGAACTTTTCGCTAAAAAATCCTTGTGAGAATGATAACTGGAACTTAAGAACCCTATATTACTTGTGGTTGCATATACTTGCGCATATCTTGCATACTCTTTAGCAAGGCCAACAATTTCGAACTGGAGATTGAAGTTTCTCAGCCATTTATTGAAGAATCCATTTTAAGAAATGTAGTTTACCTGTGAGCCATATCTTGATCCAGAAGGTACTGCTGTCCGTTCCCCAAGATATCTGATAAAACTCCTAGAGGAAAAGAAAAACACCAAAAAAGAAGGAAAAATAATGAGGAACCAAAACAGTCACTTCTCTGCCACCTGGAGAGAGAATTCAAAGCAACAACATTTAGAGATGAAAAGCCTCGATAATATCTATTTTTAGTAGAAAGATTACACATAAGTTTGCCCACCCACATTGACTAGGCCCAATCTTAGAAACACAAAATCTGAATTTTCACATACCAAATTCCTCTTTCATCTGCAGCAAAAACCATTGGGTTACAATCAAATCCCACGCCTATTACGGTTCTCTCAGAAACAAACAATACCTGAAAACATGCCATATTCCACCAGTTCCAGAAAATATCAGTAAATTATCCGTAAAGAAGACCATCAGAAAATATAAATGGTCAGAAAGAGTGGATGCTGACCCACATCACGGAGAGGCAAATCACGGAACAAAACATTTTGGGCCAATGGAGAAGGACCAACATCATCAACAAAATATATCATAGAATTATGACCTGTATAATAGGAAAAAATACAGTAGGTCACAATTGGAAAACACAAACAAACCTAATAAAATACAAATAAGTCCCTTTTTTTTTTTTAGAAAATTGACCACAATAACATTTTGAAAAAATACAAATGGGTCAAGATAAATGAATTAAATCTTTGTTCACAATGAAAACCTAATAGTACCAATATATTTTTCCCTTTTCATTCTTCTTTTATTATACATAAAGAAAATAAATAAACATCAGCTGAAGATCACATCAAGCAATCTCGAATTCTTGACTTTACAAAGAAGAAAAATGAAAGAACACAAAAAGAAACATATAGCTGGCAGCCATAATTTCAGCTAGCCAAGTATAGTCAAGCAGAGGAGAGAATTTTCTCACCTACATAAGCTAGAGTATTGCCACTTGGGGACCACTTAACTCCGAATGTCCAAGATGATGAGAGATCAAGCTGAACAATTAACTGTTGCACAAGAAAAATATTATAAATAGAATCTACATGATCCAACAGGTCATTCCATTTCCTTTCTCTACTTTTAATTGGGGGGAGATGGAAGAAAAATTGTGAATCAGAAAACTAATTAGAAACCAAAATTCATTTTGTTATTGTAAAGAACCTTGGGATACACCACCCCAAAAGCTAGTTCAAAGGGTGGTGTATCCCAAGGTTCTTTACATGGTATCAGAGCCTCGCCGTCCCCCACTTTCTCTTGTGGCGTTTCTTAGCACAGGTAGGCTGAGCCTGTTGCATTGTCCACTCTTCAAGCCCAATGGGCTCTTGCGTGAGGGGGCGTGTTGAGATATATAGTGCCACATTGATTGGATGAGCAACTAATATGGCCTTTATAAGGTCTTGGGCACTCCCACCTCTTGAGCTAGCTTTTGGGGTGGTGTATCCCAAGGTCCTTTACAGTTATTATAATCTCATACAACAAATTCTTTCAGAAGCATTCAGTCATTCATCAATATGCTAGAAAATAATCAATGCAATTACCACAAAATATATAGTTCCAGACATCAATACTTAAAGTACACGCTGTTTATTTAAAATCAGTTTCAACTTTCCAATCAACAGCAGGTGATTAAATAATCAATAGGATATAAACTATAATGGACTTCACAAGCAAAGATCTGGGTGCAAAATGTATAAAAATTTATTATACATGAAGATCAGTCATAGTTATACATCAAGTCGATGCATATCATTGTTTGCTTCTATTTGTGAGAGTATGGGTCATTTGCTATTTGTATCACGATAATTGATGCACCCAAGCTGACTCGCTTGGATTGGGCTTTTCCATAATTTATTTCTTTATTCAGGAATTTTTAATAATTGCTAGTTATTTCCTTTTGTTATTTTAGATTATGTTTGAGTGTGCGTTGATTGTGCGTTATCTCCTTTGATTGCGCATGATTATAGTTATTTACTTTTTTTTGTTATTTTATTTTTCCTATTTAAGGCATGGAGAACCCTAATGTTAGGCCGTTGTTTTTAGTTAAATAAAATTAAGAAAAGAGGAATAGTATTTTCTCGCAATCCTTGTGTTCGTTTTTCTTTTTGTTTAGCCAATTGGTTACTGTTTCGGCATTATTTGGTAATCAGAGCTCTGGTTGTCACTTAAATGGCTGAACAGAACAATGGCAGTCGAGGTCGAGGTCGTGGACGAGGCGATGGCGGCGGTAGAGGGCGTGGTAACACCCTTTATGGCGACGGTGAACAACCATACATCGATGCGCGAGACGCCACAATGGTAGCAATGGCCGCTACAATGGCAGAACAAGGTAGACGAATTCAGGAGCTCAAACAACGGTTTGCCCAAACACAGTTGGACGAGTTAGATGAAGGAAGGGAATCTGAAAGATCATCTCATGAGGAGGAAAGGAGCGAAAACCATTCTGGGACTGGAACCAGGAGCGACAAGGACGAAGTCAACCTGGAAATCAATCATTTTTTGCCAATATTGGGGTGAAGATTGAGATCCCGGAATTCGAGGGCACCACTCATCCAAATGAGTTCATCGATTGGTTACACACCGTCGAAAGAGTCTTGATATCAGAGACTTGGCAGAAGACCAGAAGGTCAAACTGGTCGCTATCAAACTGAGGAAGCATGCCTCAATTTGGTGGGAACATATTAAGAAGCTATGAAGCACTGACACTTCAAAAATCCCGACGTGTCGTGTCTGACACTCCCCGACACTTCAACGCGCGTTGTAGAAACTCAAAAAAAAGTTTTAGTTCTAACTATTACATTCATTAGATTACTATTACTATTTTACTGAATTTAATATAAATATTTGTGATATCTTATGTTTCTTTGCAAAATTAATGGGTATTATAAGTTTAGCTTTATTTTTTTTTTAAATTATTGAATATTAAATATAATATATGCAACATAAACTAAAAATATTATTCAATATCAAAACGTGTCCAAACGTATCGAAATCTAATATTTTTTAGAATTAACTTGTCGGAGTGTCGCGTCGTATCGTGTCGGTATCGGTGCTACACAGTTAAGAAGCAGCGAAACAAAGAAGGGAAGTCAAAGATCAGGAGTTGAGATAAGATGAAGAAACTGTTGCAACAAAAATTCTTACCAATTCACTACCATCAGGAGGTATTTGTTGAATACCATAATCTCAAGCAGAGAGACCTATCAGTTGAACAATATACAACTGAGTTTGATCGTCTGCGGATGCGTTGTGATATCGTAGAGGAGGACGAGCAATTGGTCGCTCGTTACCTAGGAGGACCGCGGACTGAGATCTCAGATGTTGTATACATGCAACAATATTGGTCATATGAGGACGTATATCGACTAGCTTTGAAGGTAGAGGAGCAGTGTAAGAGAAAAAGAAGTACTTCAAAATTTCAACCCATATTTTATGACAAAGGAAAGTCATCAAGCTCAACAACCAACACTAGTGTCGGAAAGGATCGTTCTAACCTGAAACTAGTAAGCAAAGGGGTAACGACCAATGGTGGAGCTAGCAAGACAGGAACTACGACAAAGTGGTGCTTCAAATGCCAAGGTTTAGGACACTTCGCTGCTGATTGTCCAAACCGGCAGTATGTTACTCTTGTCGATACAACAACTGATGATATAGGCCCCACCTATTATGAGTATGAAGAAGATCAGGTGGATGGAAGGTCTGAAGAAGGTGAGATTATCTATGGTGACGTTGGAGAATCCTTGGTTGTTCGGAGGGTTCTGAGTGTTGATGTAGCTGATGATGAGTTGTGGCTCCGACACAATATATTTCACACAAAGTGCACCAGCGGTGGCAAGGTGTGTAGTATGATCATTGATGGGGGAAGCTGCGAGAATGTTGTCTCTAATACCATGGTCGAGAAGTTAGGACTGAAAACTGAGGAACACCCACAAACCTACAAGCTTTCTTGGCTGAAGAAAGGAAGTGAGGTGAAGGTGAACAAGAAGTGTCTCGTGCAGTTTTCTATTGGCAAGAAATATACTGATGAGGCGCGGTGTGATGTCATTCTGATGGATGGATGTCATATCTTGTTAGGGAGGCCGTGGCAATTTAATAGAAAGCCGCGACATGATGGCTTCAAAAACACTTATACTTTCAAGAAGGACGGGATGACAATTACTTTGGGGCCTTCTGACTTGAGGAATGACGCAAAGAATACTATGCTATCCAGAGCAGATTTCCAAGAAGAAGTTGCTAATGCCGTTAAGGTATTTGCTTGTGAGGTGATGGAAGAGAATTGTAGTGTTTCTAACATTCCTTTGTAGGTTAAGCCATTGTTAGAAGACTTTGCTGATGTGGTTCTTGAGGAAATGCCACCGAGATTGCCACCTATGAGAGACATCCAACATTGCATTGATTTTGTGCCGGGAGCTGTTATTCCCAACAAAGCAGCATATAGGATGAGCCCTAAGGAGCATGACAAGTTACACAAACAGGTGCAGGAGCTACTGAAAAAGGGTGTAGTAAGGGAGAGCATGAGTCCCTGTGCAGTACCTGCCTTGTTGGTCCCTAAGAAAAACGAATCCTAGAGGATGTGCGTCGATAGTAGGGCTGTCAATCGGATCACTATCAAGTATCGTTTTCCCATACCTCGCTTTGATGACTTAATTGATCAACTTCATGGTGTAATGGTCTTCTCAAAGATAGACTTGCGAAGCGGTTACATCAAATCAGAATGCGACCTGCCGATGAGTGGAAAATCGCCTTCAAGACAAGGGATGGGTTATATGAGCGGATGGTTATGTCATTTGGTTTATCTAACGCGCCAAGCACATTCATGCGGTTGATAAATCAGGTTTTCCGACCTTTCATTGGTCCTTTTGTTGTAGTTTATTTTGATGATATCTTGATATATAGCTCCTCTGTTGAGCATCACTTACTACATCTGAGGAAAGTGTTTGAGGCCTTAAGGGAACAAAAGTTGTATGCCAATCTGAAGAAATGTCATTTCTTCACCAATTCTGTGATATTTTTGGGGTATATTATTTCTGTTGATGGTATTTGGGATAAAGGTGTTGTTGATGTTGATGTTGATGTTGGTATTAGGATGGATCCAGCAAAGGTTGATGCTATTACCGGATGGCAAACGCCTAAGAGCATACATGACATCCGAAGCTTTCATGGTCTAGCCTCTTTCTATAGGAGGTTCATTCAAGATTTCGGCACTATTATAGCACTTGTTACAGATTGTCTGAAAGGAATCAAGTTTGAGTGGACTAAGGAGGCAGAAGCGGCATTCCAATTACTAAAGCGGAAGGTAACTGAAGCCCCTGTTCTGGTGCTATTTGATTTTTCTGATGTTTTTGAAGTGCATTGTGATGCTTCTGGAGTTGGCATAGGGGGTGTACTTAGTCAAAAGAATAAACCAGTAGCATTCTTCAGTTAGAAGTTGAATGAAGACAGAAGGAAATATTCTACTTATGACAAGGAATTTTATGCAATAGTTCGGAGCTTGGAGCATTGGAGACACTATCTAATCTCTAAGGAGTTTATCTTGTTTTCTGATCATGAAGCCTTGAAATATATCAATGGTTAGCACAAACTGAATACCAGGTACGCTAAATGGGTGGAGTTCCTTCAAGCTGACAAGCATAGGAAACTAGTTGTTTTCAAGGAAGGTGATTTGGTGTGGATCCACCTTAGGAAGGAACGTTTTCCGGCTAACAGGTTTGGCAAACTTCAGCCTAGGGCTGATGGCCCCTTCAGAGTGCTCGAGAAGATCAACGACAACGCTTACAAGATTGCACTTCCTGGGAAGTACAATGTTTCTAGAACTTTCAATGTTGCAGACTTGTCCCCTTATCAAAATGAAGAGGAGGACCTGGTGTGCGAGGACGAATCTTCTTTTGGCAGGGGAGGATGATGCACCCAAGCTGACTCGCTTGGATTGAACTTTTCCATAATTTATTTCTTTATTTAGGAATTTTTAATAATTGCTAGTTATTTCCTTTTGTTATTTTAGATTATGTTTGAATGTGCGTTGATTGTGTGTTATCTCCTTCGATTGCGCATGATTATAGTTATTTACTTTTTTTTGTTATTTTATTTTGCCTATTTAAGGCTTGGAGAACCTATTGTTAGGCAGTTGTTTTTGGTTAAATAAAATTAAGAAAAGAGGAATAGTATTTTCTCGCAATCCTTGTGTTCGTTTTTCTTTCTGTTTAGCCAATTGGTTACTGCTTCACCCTATTGTTAGGCAATTGTTTTTGGTTAAATAAAATTAAGAAAAGAGGAATAGTATTTTCTCGCAATCCTTGTGTTCGTTTTTCTTTCTATTTAGCCAATTGGTTACTGCTTCAGCATTAATAATATATATGCATAGAACTCGATATTTCAAAAGCATTAGCCAAAAAACAACTCCATCTGGCAACCTCATCACAGAAAAACAAACAGATATTGTAGAGAGGAGAGAGGCAGGGGGCATCGAGAATTTATTAAAATTAGAAAGAATAATTTCTTTGCATCAACCTTCTAAATAGTGAGTAGGGGTGTAAATGGGCTAGATCGGTCTACAGAGGCCTTCGACCTAGCCTATATTAGGCTAGGCTTGGCCTATTACAAATAGTAAAATAGAACAAGCCTGGACTTTTAAAAAAATCTATTTAGAAAACAGGTTACATGTTTTTTTGTACATGTCGGGCCTATAAGCCTACAGGCCGGCCTATATTATATTATTTATTTTAAATAAAATAAATAAAATTATTATTTTAATAATTTTGAATAATAAAGTAATATTATGTTAGTTATTCTTTTAATTGTTGAAGTTTAATAGGCTTAAACAGGCAAACAGGCTTAGGCCAAGGTTTTTATTTTTTAAATATAAGTCAGGTCAAACTTGTAATTTGGAGCCTACACAGGCTAAAAGGTCAGGCCAGACCCAATGTGTTTTACACAAGCTTGGCCTATTTAAGTCAAAATCTAGCCTAACCTAGCCTATTTACACCCCTAATAGTGAGGTTATCTTTTACGAAGTTGAGTATGAACAAATGGATGCACCTTGACATATATATGCTAAAGCATGAAAAAATATCAAGAATTTACATGAGGAATAAGATTTAATATTGAACCTCTCCAAATTTCGAATCTGACGAAGTACCCTTCTTTGAATCCCTGTGCCAGTTCATCATGCAAACTTGAATAATATAACAAACATAAAAAATAAACAGGGGAAGTCAAACACATTCAGAGTTCCTTTTATCATACTTTGCATCTACACCTTTCATAAAGGTGGAAAATACTCGGCATTTTCCATCTGTGGATGTTGTCGCAAGAAGAATCTGCAGTCAACCAATAAAATAAGATGTTGTGCAAAGGGTTTTTTTATATCATAAGTATCATAAAAAACAATTATCTAACATTTGATAGTGAAATTTAAATAATTTAACAGACCAAGACATTATATGGCTGAAACAACACAGGAAAGGAAAATTTCGAAAATAGAGGATAAAAAAAGACTATATTTAAATATAGAGGATTAAAAATAATAACAGAATAATAAACCACAGATAAAGAAACTTTCATGCTTTACTAGCCATAAACAATTCATCGATAATTACAGATTCTTCAGTATGCCAAGCAAGTGCATCCCAGGAGCTGACTTAGCATACAAGAGGCTACTACTAACTTGTATAAAATAACAAGAAACACTTGGAATGCATAGGAAAAATTATACATGAACGAGAAAGTTAGAATACTAACATTATTGGGATGCCAAGAGACACTTGTCACTGAAGAATCATGTCTTTTCCTGATAAGTTTGCCGATCCACCTGCAGAGAGACAAATATAAAATAAATAATAATATCAACACCACCTTTATCCCAAACTAGTTGGGGTTGGCAATTAATGAACCCAAATAAAAGCAAGAACAAGTTTAAATTTCAAACTTATTGTTCCAATTATATCAACCAGAGGTGTCTATGGGTTGGTGGAGTTCAGGATATTTTTGGATCCAACCCGATCATTAAAGCAATAGATTGGATACGGTAGGACTCAGGAATTTTTTCTTCTTCAATGTTATTGAATTTTGTATTTCTGTATATATTGATTTGAATAAATTACATGAGTATTTATACAAGACAGAATAGCTAAGAATGACTCAGCGATAACTAATCAATCCTAATTTCCTACACTCCCCCTCAAGTTGGGAGGTAAATGTTGATCATTCCCAACTTGCCAATCAAGTCTTTGAATGGTGGACGGTGTAGACCCTTGGTAAGGATATCTGCAATCTGCTCTTTGGGAACACACATCATATGCACACTTCCATCATCTAATTTTTCTTTGATGAAGTGGCGATCAACTTCTACGTGCTTTGTTCGATCATGATGCACAGGATTTTGAGCAATGCTGACAGCTGCCTTGTTGTCACAACATAGTTTTATTGGTAGGGAATATGAAATCTTCAACTCTTGAAGAAGTCTTCTCAACCAGATTCCTTCATAAATTCCATGAGCTAAAGCTCGAAATTCTGCTTCAACACTACTTCTTGCAACCACTGTTTGCTTTTTGCTTCTCCAAGTGACAAGATTTCCCCGCACATAGGTGCAATAGCCTGAGGTAGATCTCCTGTCTACTGATGAGCCTGCCCAATCTGCATCAGTGTAGATTTCAATCGTCCTTTTATACCCCTTTTTAAAGAATAATCCTCTTCCTGGAGTGTTCTTGAGGTATCTAAGCACCCTATAGACTGCACTAAGATGTTTCTCCTTGGGTGAATGCATAAATTGACTAATCATGCTCACTGCAAAGGCAATGTCAGGTCGCGTGTGAGATAAATAAATTAGTTTGCCAACCAATCTCTGATATTGTTCTTTATCCACTTCATTCCCATATTCAATACCTAACTTGGTATTAGGTTCCACGGGTGTCTCAGCAGGCTTACACCCTAACATTCCTGTTTCCAACAAAAGATCTAGAACATATTTCTTGTGTGAGAGTGATGCCTGTTTTGCTCCTAGCAACTTCCATACCAAGGAAATATTTGAGAGTTCCAAGATCCTTCAGTTCAAACTGAGCTGCTAGATACTTCTTCAAGGAGTTCAATTCTTTACTATCGTCACCTATAAGAATTATATCATCTACCTACACAATAAGAACAACAATTTTACCATCTTTAGATTGTTTGTGGAAGAGAGTATGATCGGTCTGTGATTGAATGAAGCCTCTTCTTTTGACAGCTTGTGTGAATTTGTCAAACCATTCTCTAAGAGACTGTTTCAACCCATATAAAGACTTTTTTAGTTTACACACTGATCCATTTCCTTTTTCAAAACCAGGTGGAGGATCCATATTCTCTCTTCATGTAAGTCACCATTTAGGAATGCATTCTTCACATCTAACTGTTGCAGAGGCCAATCTAGGTTGGCAGCAAGTGATAAGAGAACTCGGATGGTATTGACTTTAGCAACTGGAGCAAAAGTCTTATGATAATCTATCCCATGAGTATGCGTGAATCCCTTTGCAACCAATCTTGCCTTGTATCTGTTGATGCTATTATCTGCATTGAATTTTATTGTAAATACCCATTTGCATCCTACTGCCTGTTTTCCCTTTGGTAGGGTCACTATCTCCCAAGTTCCATTTCTTTCTAAAGCATTCATTTTTTCAAGGACAACATCCCTCCATTTTTTTATCATTGAGAGCCTCATGTATATTTCTCGGTATCTTTGTACTATCCAACATAGTATTGAAAGCACGGAACCCTGGGGACAACTTTTCATATGAAATATGATTAGAAATAGGATGAGTAGTACAAGATCGAGTACCTTTTCTGAGAGCAATAGGTAAGTGTAGATCATTTTATCATGGCACTCAAGTGTTGGGGTGCTGGAACTAGAACTTGGTTCAGAATCCTGGCAGTGTAGAGGCTCTGGGTTATTCACACTTTGAGGAGGCTTTCGCCTGCTATAAACTTGTCCCCACTTTGAGGAGGCTCCGGATGGTGAGGATTCTGTAGCTCCCCCTGTTTCCAACAGTAGAGGTAATACTGTGGCATCAGTCGGTTCCAATGACTGATCTTCATCTGCTCCTATAGACTCCCCCTGAAGAGAAGTCAAGGGAAAGAAAGGTTGAGTCTCAGAAAAGCTGACATCCATAGAGACAAAGATCTTACGAAGAGAGGGTGAATAACACTTATAGCCACGTTGAGTAGGAGAATAACCAATAAAGACACACCGGAGAGACTTAGGATCAAGCTTAGATCGTTGATGAGAGGGAATATGGACAAATACAACGCAACCAAATAACTTGAGAGGTAGCGAGGAGACGCCTCAGAAGGAAGGGAAGGTGCAGAAAAGACTAGAAAAAGGAGACTGAAGTTTGAGAATGCGAGATGGCATTCGATTGATCAGATACGAGGCAATGAGAACGGCTTCCCCCCAAAGGTATTTAGGAACACTCAAAGTGAACATAAGAGCCTGAGCAACTTCAAGGAGATGTCAGTTTTTTCTTTCCGCAACTCCGTTTTGTTGGGGTGTGTCAGGACACGAGCTTTAATGAAAGATGCCATGTTGGTAAAGATATTCTCCAAGAATAGAGTTAAAATACTATTTGCCATTATCTGTATGAAGAATTTGTATAGCAACTTGGAATTGTATTTGAACCATGGCATAAAACGTTTTAAAAATGGATGCAACATCTGACTTGTCCTTTAGAAGGTATACCCAACAAACTCGGGAATGGTCATCAATGAAGGTAATGAACCATCGAGCACCTGAAATATTCTTTACACGGGCTGGACCCCATATGTCACTATGAATTAAAGAAAATGGGGAAGAGTCATGGTGAGCTTTAGAAGGATAATGAACACGAGTATGCTTGGCAAGTTGACAGCTATCACAAGAAAACAAACTAGGACTTTTATTAATAAATAAGTTTGGTAACAACTTCTGAAGATAGATAAAATTTGGATGGCCTAGCCTACGGTGCCACAGCATAACATCATTACAAGAATCAAAAGGAAACGGAGTCTTTTTCCACAAAAACAGCTTCATGAGTCACATCCTCCTCAAAGTAGTAAAGTCCACCATCCTCTCTAGCACTGCCAATCATCATCTCCGAGTCCTGTTCCTGAAAAACAGAACCATGGGGAAAGAATTTAGCAAAACAATGCAACTCAGAAGTCAGCTTGCTTATGGAAATGAGATTACAAGCCAGAGAAGGAATATAAAGAACTGATGTTAAATTAATCAGCTCAGAAAGTTTAATGGTTCTGTGTCCTGCAATCTGGGGAAAACTGTCCTCGGCGATCTCGACCCGAGAGGGTTCAGAGTATGGAGTGTATGAACAAAACAAGCTCGGATTACCTGTCATATGGTCAGAGGGTCCAGAATCAAGGATCCAATGATTTTGACTATTAACATGGAAAGCTGTATCATCAGACTTATCAATTGATTCCTTTTCTCATAGCATAACTCTCTGTCTACTTGCTTCTCTACGAACTTCAACAAAGGCATCAGCAAGTGAGGGTAACGGTCGTTGCCCCAATATTCGACCACGAACCTCATCAAGATCTCTGTTGAGGCCAGCAAGGAAATCATAAAGTCGTTCCTTCTCCAAGTGTTTTTTAAACTAGGTATTCGCTTCCAATCCTTTAAGATCGGATGCATAATAAAGATCCAGTTCCTACCATAAATTTGTTAGTGCAGTAAAATATTCAGTAATAGTCATACCCTTTTGAGGAAAGTCTCTCAACTTATTTCTCAGTTCAAAGACTTGAGAGGTATTCTCCAGATCTGAATAATTTTGTTGAACAGCATCCCAAATCTCCTTGGCAGTATCGAAGAACAAATAGATTTGGTCAATATGTGGTTCCATGGAATTAGTCAGCCATGCCATTACCAAGGAATTATTAATCTCCCAATTTTTATAATCAGGAGAATCCTCAACAGGTTTCTTAATTTTTCCCTCAAGATAACCCATCTTACCTTTTGCCCAGATCACCAACTTAACAAATTGAAACCATTGCAGAAAATTTGTACTGTTCAACCAGTGACTAGTAATCTGCATACTTAAGTTGTCTCCAGAGGACTGAGTATTGGGAACAGATGAGGAAGCAGAAGAACGCTCTGAGGAAGACATGAAGGAAGAGAGAGGATTTGACCGTGGATAAAAAATAAAGTTTTTGTTTTTTCAGATCTGACCTCTGGAACAGGAAGGGGAGACGCCGGCGAGTGGTTCTGTGCAAGTCGCGGCGAAAAAAAACGCCGGGAAGGTGGCGCGTGGAGCTCACGTGCCGGAGGCTGGCGGCGCGTGCGGCGGCTGACGGTGATGGGTCCGGTGGCGTTCAACTCGTCGGAGCCTTCTGAGTCGAATGGTCACTTCACTTTCTTGATTGGAGGTCTGTAGATAGGTTTCTAGGTCTGGACAGAAGTGAGAAGGTGTTTTGGATGGTGTTTCAGCCTTGAAGATGGCTGATTTAGGGTAGGAACGAACCCGCTCTTGATACCATATTGAATTTTGTATTTCTGTATATATTGATTTGAATAAATTACATGAGTATTTATACAAGACAGAATAGCTAAGAATGACTCAGCGATGACTAATCAATCAATCCTAATTAATAGGAAATAAAAGAAAAAACGGAAAATATTTGAATCCTGATTTCCTACAAATGTGAGCAACTGAACCCGCTTACGAGGGGGTTGGATTGGGTTGAACTAGTGGGTCTGTCATGCATAAAAAAAATTTCAAGTGCAAAAATAATGTCAAGATACAAAATAGAAAAAAACATTACACATAACAAGTCTTGACCAAAATCAACATAAGTCTCGAATGAAATAAAAAAGTAACATAGCAAGTCTTAAACTTACATAAGTCTCAAACAAACTAATAGCTAAAGTTACATGACAAGTCTTAAGTAAACATAAGTCTCAAATACACTGTAAGTAAGATAACAAGTCTCAAAACTCAAAAATAATTAATCGAATAGGTCAATTCAAATAAGTGTCATCACAGATAGCATATGGATTGCTATAACCATAATGGTCCATAAGATGCTTCATCAATTTCTCATCTCTATTTTCTTCGGTCACATTCTCAACATGATCACAATGCCTATACTTAAACTTGAGTGGTATGTTTTTTTGGGTTGGATTGTGCATGTTGGGAAGTATCATCAAGGTCAACGTTTAGGAGCATGTTAAGGACAAGAACTAGCTATTTCACTAATAGAAGATCATACGGCAAGACACTAGATACCTTGCATATCAATCAAAAGTAATCCAGATACATCAGGATATTTTAACCAATATAATATCGTCTAAACACACCTTCATACAGCCAAGTCATAAAACTACGATCTAGACATACCTAGGCGGATTCAGAATGCAAACATAAAAAAACTATGCATAACAATTGTATTGCCAGGATGCAAATAAACATGGGAAATAAAGTGCGAGGAAACAGAGACAGACCAGTTGTTTTCCTGCTCATAGTAGCATATACAAACTGTTTTGGCTCCACTTCCCACAGCAAACTTGTTTTCTGTCAAAACAGAATTTAGAATTGCATTACAACCATATAAATTTTAATAATTATAATATAATTTCATAGAATAATTAACAGGAAATATTCGGACAATTATTCTGGAAAAAGAAAAAGACAATTACATAGAAGGTGCAAGCACCGAATGTTAGAGCATGATATAAACCATTAAAAAAACCCTCACCCAACAGTTTAAGCTTTTGGATTGAATTGGTTCTGTACATGGTATCAGAGTTTCAATGACCACGAGGTCACGAATTCGATCCTCACCGCCTCCTACTTTCTAGTGGAATTAAATAAGCACAAGGTAAACTAAAATTGTGCCTGTACAATTATTGTAAATACTAGAATTATTTTTATTATTTTGTAATTTTGTAATAGTCAGTATTTGGGCTTAGCCCATTAGGTTTCTTTATTCTCTTTAAATAGAGAACTCTTGTATAGATAATTCATAATTTCATAATACAAAATATTTCTTTCAATTTGGTATCGGAGCTCTCGATCTGAGGGCTCTGTTTCCTCATCTACACCTTTAAAGGAGGAATCCTTATTTTTCGCCTCTCGCCACCATTAGCTGCCATCGGAAAATATTTCCGGGGACCTTTTGGATCGAGAGGATCACCTTTCGACACTCCGATCACTGTTATCATTGAAATACCACTGTTGACCGCGGTTGACCACTGTCTCTGGCGAGTTTTCCGACGATTTTTCCGGCAATCCACCCACGGTTATGACCGCCCAGACGAGACGACCTCTTCTGTTCAGGACCCACCTGGAGATCTGACCAAATGCGCTCTCACGCGCGTGGAAGAGACGCGTTGTTCCCGGAGCTGCAGCGGCGCGTGGGACTTCCTCTTCACGTGCGGCCAGCACAGGCCAACTCGCCCCTTCCTTCTGAGTGTGGATATGTGGTTATCTTGGGTTTTTGATCCCGTTGCAGCTTCCCACGGTGGTTCTTCCTCTGTTCGGTACTGTTCCGGCCACCTTGGTACTGTTCCGGCCAGATTTGTTACTATTCCGGCCTCCTGGTTACTATTCCAGTAACATTGAACCTTTATCATTCTGATAAGTCAGTTTTTAGCAAATTTTATGTCTGACGTTGAAGATAATCCGAAAATTCAGCCACCTGTTACATCCTCTATGGCTTCTCTTAGTCCAAACGATCTTCCTGCTCTCCATCAGAATTATCGTCTCAATGGAAAAAATTATTTGCAGTGGTCTCAGCTGATTCGTACAATTCTCAAAGGGCGTCGTAAGATTGCTCATCTTGAAGGACCTGTTATTGCCAAAACAAATCCAAAATTTGCTGATTGGGATGATGAAGACTCTCTTATTATGACATGGCTATGGAATTCTATGACTCCTGAAGTTAGTCAATATTGTATGTTCTTACCTACTGTTTTTGAGATCTGGAAAATTCTTCATCAGACCTATTCAATGAAACAAGATGCTGCCACTTGCTATGATCTAAGGAACAAGATTTTTTCTACCAAGCAGGGCTCTTTATCTGTGACAGAGTATTATGGAAATCTGAATGGATTATGGACTGAGCTAGATCAATATGATAGTTTGCAGATGGAGTGCAGCAAGGATGCAGCCACTCTGGCCTCCTCTGTTGAACGACATCGGATCTTTGACTTTCTTTGTGGCCTCAATTCAGAATATGACCCTATTCGGGTTCAAATCCTTGGTAAGGAAAAATTACCTTCTCTTTCTGAAGTTTTTCATACTATCAGGGGTGAAGAAAGTCGTAGGAATGTCATGATGGACACTAAGTTGTCTGAAGTATCTGTCATGATCTCATCTAAAGTCACTACTTCAACTGCTTCTGACGAGTCTGCTATGATCTCAGCTAAGTCACCTCAGGGGTCTCCTTTCTTTAAGTCACCTCAGGGGTCTTCTTCCTTTAAGCCCATCAAAGAGGGGCGTTGGTGCAATTATTGTAAAAGACCAGGTCACACAAAAGATGTTTGCTACCGTCTTCATGGGAGGCAACAGGTTTTAGAGAAGCTTGGTAAGCCACCTTCACGTGAAGATTTGAGACATGGTCAATCTTTCTGAAGGGGATTTGAGACATGGTCAATCTTTCTTGACCCCTTCAGACATTCCTCCAGTGAATGAGAAACAAATGCCTGGTGAGTTTACTACTGTTCGTCGTGAGGAATTGGAACGGCTCAGGTCCGTATATGACTCCCTCAATAAAACTTCTGGTACTGGTACATTGGCCATGACTGGTAAGAACTCATGCACTCATTCTTTTATCGCTTCTTGTACTGATTTCAAAACTTCATGGATTGTGGATTCTGGTGCTACTGATCATATGACTTGCTGCAATGATCTTTTTCTTTCTTATAATCCTACTGTTGGTCTCCGTACTATAGTCGTAGCTGATGGATCACATACATCAGTTGCAGGTTCTGGCAATATTAAAATCCAACCCTCCTTGTGTCTCAAAAATGCTCTCCATGTTCCCCGCTTATCTACCAATCTCCTTTCTACTCATAAGCTTACTACAGATTTGAATTGCACTATAACCTTTTTCCCTACACATTGTGTTTTTCAAGATCTCGCCACGGGGAAGACAATTGGAGTTGCTAAGGAGCAGGGTGAGTTGTATCATCTGATTCCAGATTTTGTTGCAGAAGGTACCGGGGATCAAACTTTTATGACTCATCAGCCTACATCAGATTCTCTCATTTGGCTTCATCACAAGCGCTTGGGTCATCCTTCTTTTAGTTTACTTAAGTCTATGTTTCCGTCTTTGTTTGTGTCGCAGTCTGTTGAGTCTTTTAATTGTGATGTCTGTCAATTTGCAAAACATCATCGTGTACCTTTTCATTTTAGTGAAATAAAAAGTGTTGAGCCTTTTACCATTATACATACTGATGTTTGGGGACCTTCCAAGGTACCTAATGTTTCTGGTGCCAAGTGGTTTGTTTCTTTTATTGATGATTATACTCGGACTACATGGATCTTCTTGATGAAAGATAAGACAGAAGTAACACAGTTGTTTATCCAGTTTTATTATATGATTGAAACTCAGTTTGGTAAACGTATCAAACGCTTGAGATCAGATAATGGTACCGAATATGTTAATCAATATCTTTCTCAGTTATTAAAGACAAAGGAATGGTTCATGAACTCACATGCGTAGATACCCCTCAACAAAATGGGTTTGCTGAACGGAAAAATAGACATTTCCTTGAAGTCACCAGAGCATTATTGTTACAGACATCTGTGCCCAACTCTTACTGGGGCGAAGCTGTATTAACTGCAGCCTATTACTGTGCCCAACTCTTACCAAAGGAAGAGACAACCCACACTGCCCCACCAGCAACTGCAGTCGCTTGAACCGCTGGTAAGTACTAAAAACACTACTTCTGTTGTTCCTGAGCATGATATTAATTCTGTTGACTTACCCATTGCTGTAAGAAAAGGGAAAAGGTCTTGTACCCAACACCATATTTCTCATTTTGTCTCCTCTAAGAATCTCTCTATGCAGCATAGAAGCTTTATTACAGCACTTGACTCCATTTCAATCCCAGAATCAGTACATGAAGCATTAAAGAATGACAATTGGGTTCAAGCCATGAATGATGAGATGAATGCATTAGAGAAAAATAATACATGGGAAGTCGTTGACAGGCCAAATGGACAAAAGGCAGTAGGATGCAGATGGGTATATACTTCGAAATATAATTCTGATGGGACTCTTGAAAGGTATAAAGCTCGACTGGTTGCCAAAGGATACACACAGACCTATGGCATTGATTACGAAGAAACATTTGCTCCAGTGGCCAAAATGAACACTGTAAGAGTTCTATTTTCCCTTGCTGCTCATTCTAATTGGGATTTGAGACAATTTGATGTAAAAAATGCCTTCCTCAATGGCGAATTAGAAGAAGAGGTTTACATGGAGATTCCACCAGGATTTAACTCCACAAATGGAGAAAACAAAGTTTGCAGGTTAAAGAAGGCATTGTATGGCTTGAAGCAATCCCCGCGTGCTTGGTTTGGAAGATTTACAAAAGTTATGCTTTCATTGGGGTACAGACAAAGTCAAGGAGATCATACACTTTTCTTTAAACATTCTCAAGAAGGTAAGCTGACTATCCTTCTTGTTTATGTTGATGACATTATTATAACAAGGGATAATATAGATGAGAAGCATGCTCTGCAAGAAAGATTGACTGCTGAATTTGAAGTTACAGACCTTGGAAAACTGAGGTATTTTCTTGGGATAGAAGTTGCTCATTCAAAGCAAGGTATCTTTATTTGTCAACGGAAGTATGTTCTTGATATCCTTAAGGAAACAGGAAAACTTGGGTGTAAACCTTCTAGTACTCCAATTGAGCAGAATCACAAACTAGGGAGTGAGAATGAGAGTCCTCCAGTTGACAAAGGACAGTACCAACGTATAGTGGGGAGATTGATATACCTTGCTCACACTAAACCTGATCTAGCTTATGCAGTCAGTATTGTTAGTCAATTCATGCATGATCCGAGGGAAAAACATCTGCAGGCTGTGGATAGGATTCTCCAATACCTAAAAGGCACACCAGGCAGAGGACTATTATTCCAGAGAAGAGGAAACTTATCCTTAGAAGTGTATACAGACGCAGATTATGCTGGATCCGTAACTGACTGACGGTCTACCTCAGGCTATTGTATGTTTCTCTGTGGAAATCTCATAACATGGAGAAGTAAAAAGAAAAATGTGGTTGCTAGATCGAGTGCAGAAGCAGAATTTCGAGCCATGGCTCAAGGTATCTGTGAGTTATTATGGATGAAAATCATTCTAGATGATCTAAATGTGAGGTGTGAAGGGCCTATGAAGTTACTCTGTGATAACAAGTCAGCTATCTGTATAGCGCACAATCCAGTCCAACATGACTGCACCAAACATATTGAGATTGATCGCCACTTCATCAAGGAGAAACTAGATAGTGGACTAATCACTACTCCATATATTCCGTCTAGTTGTCAATTGGCTGATGTCTTGACTAAGGGTTTTCCTAATGATAGGTTTCAAGAGCTTACTAGCAAGCTGGGAATGATAAATATCCATTCCTCAACTTGAGGGGGAGTATTGTAAATACTAGAATTATTTTTATTATTTTGTAATTTTGTAATAGTCAGTATTTGGGCTTAGCCCATTAGGTTTCTTTATTCTCTTTAAATAGAGAACTCTTGGACAAATAATTCATAATTTCATAATACAAAATATTTCGTTCAATTACAATATCCACGCTCCAAGCCCAAAGGGCTCTTACGTAAGGAGGTGTGTTAGAGAATAATATAAACCATTAAAAAGGTCATCGCCCAACAGCTTAAGCTTTTGGGTTGAATTAATTCTTTACATCGAGACAGGGAAGGTAAGGTGGCCTAGTGGAGGATCAGGCATTCGATATTAACATCACACCTTAAAGACTTGAACCGGTAAAATATAGATAAAATATAAAACTGCACCAGACAAGCATGACATGGGGTTAACTATTGTTAGCTTATGGTAGTATCTTAGCCATCTGTTACATCTTCCAACACATCCACTAAGTGTAATCCAACAGTGCAGAGGGTGAGGAAGGAAACAGAGATTTCACTCTTACATGTTTGCTTTAGATTCTGAGATGACTCAGACACCATAACTATGTTTATTTAATTATGCAAGGCAGGCACAGCTTGTAACTTTCAGATTATAGGCCCTACGTAAAGTTTCATGACTTTATAAACATGTCCTTACTTAAGAAGAGAAGCAGAGTGGAATTAAGCATGGCAGCATGATTCACATACCTTCAGGACTCCACTGGACACAAAGAGCAGCACGGTTTAGTCTAAGGATAACAAGAGTTGGCACCCATTCTGATCCTTCAAGGTTCCAGACATATCTACAGAGAACTCAAGGTTCGTATTATCAATTGCTATCAATTATGTATAAATGCCAATGCTAAAAAGTCACCAAGACCAAGGGTGATAAGTCTAATGTTCTAAACCAAACAGGCACTCACGAATTTCGATCATGGGATGCAGTAACTATTCTATTTGATCTTGCACTCCAGTCTATCCCGGAAATCACCTGGTCATGCTGTGAAAAAAGCCAAGAAATTGCTTAGAGATTATTCATAAAGGCTTCAACCAAATTAGTTGTTCCATTATAAACAGAAATGCATTAGAAAGCAAAAAAGAAAATCAATTATGATATCATTGGCATGCCGTGACATCCTGATAACATATGTATATGAGTTCTCTATTCATTTATTTCCGGAAATAATATTTGACCAAAGACAAGCAAAAGTCTGTCCATCATGTCATATTTAACTCCATGGTACATTGGTACAAATAGAAATTGGTGTAAGAACCAAATAATGGGTCTATTAGACTCGTCCAATCTTAGACGTGAGGCTCATCAGCCATGACTTAATTGTTGAGCTCTAGAGATTATCAACGTCAACAACACTTTTATCCCAAATTAGTTAGGGTCGGTGGCAGATGAATCCAAATGAAGAGTATGAAAAAGTTGACAAAAAAAGATAAAAATAAACTTTAAAAAATATATACAACATTATCCATAAAAAAATAGCAGTAAACAATTAAAAGGAAAAATAAATTAAAATAAAGTGAAAATAAAGATACATAAGAGGATAAAAAGAATAAGAAAGTAAAAATTAAAAATAAAGAAATAGAGGAACAAAAAAAATAAAGAAAAAGAAAATACATAAATAAATAAATAACAGAATAAAGATTAAGAGGAAAAAAGAAATAAAAGAAAAGAAGGAAAGAAATTAAAAAAAAAAATGACAAAGATAAAAGGGGAGGTAAAGAAAGAAAGAAAGAATGTATCAAAAAAAAGAAAGAAAGAAAGAGAGATAAAGGGGAAAATTCACCAACAGCAAACACCCTTTTGTTTAATGAAATATTTAGTACAAAACAGTATAGAAAGTTATTGTGTGACAATTTATTATAAAAGATGAAAGTCCAATAGAAATAGGGAAGAATAGGACAAATAAAATAAGAAGGAAATAGGATATCCTCCTTTATAGCTTTTCAACAATTTCCTCAAACACCCCAAGGGCTGAGCACTGAAGGACTATAAACAGAACCCTATCTGATGACAAATCCACGGAGAAAGGAGCATGAATGGAGACAGACAACAGGAAAAATTAGAGTTATGCATTCCATCACTTTCAGTGCACCTAATAATCAACTCATCAAATCAATATTGCAAAGATAAGCATTAACATATGGACAGGTTCATACTTTGGTAGTATTTTTAGAGAAAGAAAATCAATGCACTCAAAGAAAAATGGATAAGATATCATCCTTAGCTAAGAAGTAAACTTTACCAAATCAAAGAAACCCAATGAAAAAGGAAAACTCATATAACATATGACATATTTCATGGTCAAGCAACGAGAAAAGGAAGATGCAATTTAAAAATCTCTCCGTCTTTCAGGTTCCTACAAAATAGAAAATCTAGCAAAAGAACATTTGTAGAGGGGAATTGTTTACAGTCAGAAGAATAATTAAAAATGGACCGCAAAATCCCTCATAAGTTTCTCAATTCTTTAGGTAATCCTAGCAGGGATCCAGAATTGCATAAATAATAATTATACATACCAAAGACAAACAAGCATGAATGGGTACATCCAAAACTATTAGCCCTCTTTTCAACATCAGTGGTGCAACATATTTCATGGCCAAAGAATTGAGTATTACAGGACTCAGAAAGTAGTTCATAAAACAGCTGAAATACACTTAAAATATAATACAACTAAATGCAAAAACACTTTCATTGGCCATGAAGTCCTTTTCAATACTTGATTAACTTATAAGCACCAAAAATGCCAGTTTTAAATCTTTTCTAACTGTGATCACATACAGAAGATATAGAAGTGTATAGAATTAATAACAAAATTATTTTAATTGAGAAAAGAGAAAGAATATTAGCAAAGTACCTTTTGAAGAACATGCACCTTTTCCCATTTGTCTTCAACTAATCTACAGATGTGCACTTCATTATTGTTTGGACAGAATGCGACCACTACAAAAGCAAATAAGTATATTATAATATTTGAAGAATTCATAAAAGCTGCAATAATGTCTTTAAGAGAACAAATGGTTTTGTTATAGTAAGACCCATAAACTGTATTTTTGAACTTAAGCACTTAATATGAAGCAAATTATGTAAAATGTTGAAATGTTTGCACATCATATCATGAAATAGTAAAATGTGAAGATAGAGTTATTAAAAAAAAATAAAAATGAAATGTATTAATCATTTCCACTGTCAGATGAGCTTTACAACAACTATGGGTTGAGGAAGTGTCATCAATTTGGTCCCAAAAAAAAATAAAATATTAGCACTTGACCACTAAGCAACTAAATATAAAAAAATATCCAACCCATCATTTTGCTAATTGAGACAAAACATCCAACAACATATTTTGGTTACACATTTTATGAATCAAATTCGATTTAGTCCAGAAACAAAATTGATATCTAAGGCCAACATGCATGAAAAAAGTTCCACCTAGGTTCACCATTTAAATCGATTTTCAATAAATGTTATCATTCTTTTAAAAGAGGGTGAGCCTAGAGCAGTGGTAAAGTTCTTCCTTTGTAATTAAAATGTCATTGGTTTGAATATGAAAAACACCATTTTTGCAAGTATGCAAGGATAAAGCTGTGCCCAAGGATTTCTCTCATCCCTACCCTCACTAGTCTGGATTTAATGGTATGGTTTTTGGTTAGTCATTCTTTTGAAAACCGGGAAACATATGAGTTGAGGCCAAGAAAATGGAAAGAAATAAAGAAGAAAAATATTTGAAATATATAATAATTAAATGAAATCTACATATTAATGTAAGCCTTCGTTCCTTCTCTGCTAATTATATGAGCATGATATTATTACGAACAAAATAAATAAAAATGGGAATTTGGCTTTATTGAGGAAGTCCGACCTCAAATGGCTTTACTGAGGAAACCTGACCTCTTGCACAAGTGCCTTTTGGGATAACTTTTCTAATCTGATATTTTATTCATTTCACTTAGTTTAAATAGACAATGAAAACACTAACAAATAGCAACCACCCACCCCACTACTAACAGTCACATGATCCTATTCCATCCACTACTCCAATGTTTCTAAAGACTGGGTCAAATAACAACCCTTTATTAACAACAACAATTTAAAAATAACAAAATAATAAAATAAAATAAATAAAAACTAACAATTGTAACAGATATGCTTGGATGGAGGATATGGCAGTGGAAGGGAAGGTTTTTAAAGGACTAATCAGTTTTTTTTTTCTTTCATCACCTCAAACATGCCAATATTAGCACTGATGGTAAGTAAATGTAACTCACTATACAAGCAACTACTCAGATTTCTTAGAGCTTCCTGTAAGGCTTGTTGCAAAACCCACTGTCGGATTTGATTAATTGCCCCCAAAGAACCAGACTCCGTAAACAACATAGAGGAAGAATGAAAGGAATATCCTACTGAGGTAATATTATTTGCTTTGGAAGATATGCTCTTTGAATCAATCATCAGAAGATGAATCAGGCCAAAAATTAGGATACATTCTTGGAAAAAAATACTTCCCTCAAAGAGAAGCAATGAAATGCTTTCATAATAAATCTTGTCGAATTGCCTCTTGTTTGGGAGTTTTATAAAATAAGGGCAAGAAAATGAGAGATTGTCATGTGAACCTCCAAAAGTCCCGTTTATGAACATTTTTAAGTCAACCCATTTTGGAAGATTTCAAACATTCAAAAATTTAAGTGAAGGAAACTTATTAGTTAACCTACCAATTTCTTCCCTTCCCTTCTCATCCAAACATTTCACAATGCACACAACATATGCATTATTACCCTACACACTGCTTTAGGTCCACTACTTTAGACATTTCTCGCAAGCTCTTCAATACATCCTGGATTCCCGTGTAAAATGATTTAATCACTTCCACAGCCAAAAACCACCCTTTCTCTCCCTAAACAATAACATACTCCTACAATCAGAAAGCATACTAGTTTACTTAAAACTCATATAGCGCAAAAATAGATTCAAAACAGAAACGAAATTAATCAAACTGATTGTCAAAATGATCAAACAAGTTACGCATCATTCCTTTTCCTCAAATAGCCGATTTAACCCTCTAACTTAAGCATTTTTTCTTTCTTTCTAATTTTAAGGAATCCAAATGCTACATAATGGACAGAAAAAAAATGTTCATAACTGACAACAAAAAATCATCAACTTCGCCACCAAACAAGGTTCAAGTAGAACATTTCCACTAACCACATACTTTGTTTGATTTCAAATGAAAAGCTTAAAACGCATCGAAGAAGGAAAAAGAAAATTAGATCCAAACATAATCGAATCAATAAAAGTATAAAACTCCACAATCCATCAATAAAAAGAAGAAAACAAAAAACAAAATAAAAATAAAACGGCCTTCGAATCAAAATTCCTAAACCTCATAACAAAAACTAAGTCGTCTTCCATCGAAATTCGAAACAATAATATTTCTCGGCAACCAAACCGGAAAAAAAGAAGAAATGAAAATAAAAAAATCGAAAGCAGCAGAGAGAAAAGTGGTGGAATAATTACTGGATTGATCGGGGCTCCAGGCGTGGCAAGTGATGCATTGTGCGAATTGGTGAACCGCCATAACCGTCATTTTCTCTTCTCTCTCTCTCTCTCTGCTGTAAGGAAGAGAATGAGATCTGGTGAACGAGGTTTTGGGGTTGGGTATGCAAAAGGAGACTCAGACTACAAAGACTGTGCTTGCCGTGCAAGGGAGATGAAAGTGAATGCTTATGTTACAAACTTACAATAACTAAATAGAAAAAAAGGATAGGGGGTTAGATATTTTAAATGACATAGGTTATCTGATTTTAAGAGAGAAATAAATATAAGGTATAAAAATTATGGGAGAGTAAGTGATTTTTTTTAATTTGAATTTTAAATAAAAAATTATTTTTTTATGCCTATTTTTCTCTTAAAATGACATAACTTTATGTCATTTAAAATGACAAATACTTTTTCATAAAATAAATAAGTTATAAATATTTTTTTATATTTTTTATAATTTTTTTTTTATTTCGTCGTAATTAAATTAAAAAAAAAAGTGTTTGTCAATTAACATATGACATGAAATTGTGTCATTTTAAGAGAGAGAAAGATATAAATTTATATTTTTATTTAAAATTTAACTTAAAAAATCACTCATTTTCTCCTTCATGATGTTTTTTTTTTATAAACAGTTTCATGATTTTCATTGCCTATGTCTTTATCTCATTTAAAATGATATAAATATATATAATTTAAAATGATAAACATCAAATCCTTAAATTAATGGTTATAAAATAATATCAAATAGGAGTTATTAATTTAATTTTAACGTAAGGGCGTTTGGTACGCGAAATTTTTCAGGATTCCCGAAAAATTGAATTTTTCTAAATTTTATATTTTCGGATATTATCGTAAACTGAATGTAAAAATTATATTTTGAAAATCGAGATTCCCGGATAAATAAAAAAAATTCCTCCACCAAACGCCCGTAATAGTAATACAATGATGGTAAAAAAAGTATAAGACAAAAATATTTAAGTATAATCCACTTAAAAAATTAAATTTAATGCACTATAGTTTAAAATAACATTATTATTCTTCGTTGTTGATAATTATTTCGAAATATCTTATTAAAGGATTATTTGAGTTTGTAAGTGGGTCCTAATATTAAATTTTGTTTATAAGATAATTACATTAGTGATATTTAATAACTAGTTTAATATTAGGAAGTTCGGGTCATCACGTGATTCCCGTCAACAAACCAACCACAGAGCAAGGGTCGTTTTTGTAATCTCATATTGTTAAAAGAATAAAAGGAAGTTAAAAAAATTCTTTGGTAACATTTCAGTTGAAGAATCTTCTCTGTAATGGACAAAAATTTCAAATAGTAAATGCTTAATTTGCAAGTTAAGATAAAATTTATCCTTCAAAGATCTTTGATGAGACCTTAAGAACTTTTATAGTTTTGAATGAATTTCCGGTTATTATGTAGAGGGATAAATTTTGAATTTCTGAAAAATTAACATTGAAAATCCTATTTACTCACGTTTGATAAGGATTATGAAAATTTTCCTAGAAAAATCGGATTCCCAAGATTCCAAATTTTGAAGCAAAATCTCAAATTAGAATAACACCGGGTGAGTGGTATTTTTGGATTCCCTGTCTGTGGGAATATTTTCCATAATTTTTATTACTAAAATAACTCTATGTGAAGGCAAAATGATGTCGACTCGTGCCACGCTTTAATCACATTGAAAGCTGTAACATCCCACGTAATTAGGAAATATATATATATATATATATATATATATATATATATATTGCTATAAGGATTATGGATATTCATGTTAAATTCGAGTTAGGTACAATACATGCTTGGTCTTCGAATTATATAGCTGTTAGAGAGGAATTAATATCGAGTAGGGAATTAATTTAATTACAATAATAGATGAGTACCTATTGGGCGTGTGGAACTTGTATTATAAATATATAAACCATTTAATTGTAATAGGTATTGAATGACTTATGAAAGTTAAAGGACATGAAAACTTATAAACTAATGGGCTGGTTATAAAACAATAAAGGAATTGTAGAGTTTTGGACCCAAGTTCTTGGGTTGGCCCACGGCCCTAAGGGGTTTAGGGGGCAAATGAGGTTCAACCCAATCTTCTTATAATTGCCTTATCTTAGAATCTTCACAAGGTAGCCTTGGATTGGGTAGTGATTAAAACATGGCAGCCTCATCTTATCATTCAGCCACTTGTGCACCTAGGGTGTGTAAAATTCTGACCTTTGTTTGCTATTGAGGACTTACAAGTCAGCCTCATTGCCTTCCCATGCAACCAATAAGGGGAGAGCAATCCAATTGCATGTCATTCTATTGGTCTTGCATCTTAACATGACAACCCTCTCTCCCTTGAACCTAGTCATGCGCATAGTTTGAGTAATAAGAAATCTGACTCCTTGTTATGGACACAAGTTTAAACAACCTTTATCAGCTATGCAACCATTAGGACCAAAAAGAATTCTGCACTTGTGTCTTTGTCTCAACAACCAAGATGTCCTATTCCTCCATTCTCCTTATTTAGGCGCTAGACTGTGAGATACATCAGCTGAAAATTTAACAACCCTTCTTCTCTAATTCCCCTAACCGTGAGTTGTAGGTGTAGCAAGAGAAAAGAGAAAAAATTGCATCTTCATTCTTCCAACCTCCTTGAGCGTACGCGACCTTGAGAGGAGACCAAGGAAAGACCACCAAAAATCGTATAACACTCTTATTCCCTCCTCCTTGAAACCGTGAACCTTGGTGAGCAACCACAATTGAAGAATTCCTTCCATTCCTCCTCTATCCAGCCGAGGTTCTCCACACAAGAAGGTATAGAAATTCCCCATCTCCATTGTTTTCATCTACCACGCTTAGTTGATGGAAACATTCCCTTGTACATAGGATTGACTTCGAGAAATTTCCTTTCTCCCTTGGTGCGCACAGCCACGGTTTGGAGGGTTGAAGTTGTGGTGTTCGTGGAGCCTAGAAAGCGGAAGTGTTGCTCTTTGTTCTGTTCGATTTTCCTTGTGTGCTGCAAGAGAGGTAAGCACAAATGTAGAACCTCTTCTTCATCTTATGTCCAGGTCGTGAAGTATGCCTAAGAAATAGCTTTCTTTTAGTTTATCCTTTTTAGATTTTGCCTTGTTACATCATTGGGGTTATAGTTTAAAAGCATAACTAGTAAATTTGGAAATGATCTTAAAATTAAACGGTGGGGCTGTTTGATGATGACTTGGTATATCTCTAAAGTTTTATGATACTATATGATATGGACAGTATGCCTAGACCCCCCTTGTAGCGCACCATGACTGAAGTAGTTGAGTTTTGGAATAATCTATCTTTAATGTTTTGTTTAGGTAAAACTCATTCTATTTTGGTAAATTCTGTTTTGAACTAGGCCCCTCTTAAATTAAAAATACAGCATGAGGTTAGACGTGTCTTTCCCTCACCTATGGTCTTGTTAAGCTAAGATTTCGAATAAACGTCTTGGGCCCTTGTATGATTAAACCGATTCTGTTTTGGTGCAGCCTTATTGTGTACTAAACTCCATTTAAATTATATAGACAACATGATAATAAGCTCTCCTTTTGCGCACTTTATGAGTAGAGAAGTAGGAATATCATTAATAAAGTCTTGAGTAATTTTTATGTCAAAACCAATTCTGCCATGGTTGGGAACATTAGAAATCCTGCTGTTTAACATTGGTAAAGCTTAAATTAAAGTCAGAATATTTTTGGGAAAATAGCCATGGTGGCCGAATGGGTACATGAACCTTTAAGCTTGGAAACTCGTTGGTAATGTATAAGGAATAGCTTATAACATATTCTGATTGGATTGCACTTGTATATATAGGTGCGCATATTTTGTGAGACTTTGGATCATTTTAGCTGTTGCCTGGTAAATTAATTGTGACATGTGAGGTAAGTGTCTGGTGACATTACCTTTTGTGACTGCTAGCTGGAGCAAGAGTTATGAATGTTGCTCTCTTGTGCTTCGATTTGGAATTCTTATATATATGATTCTGCTCATGGTTTAAATGCTGGATATTTGTTTTGAGAATTAATTATGATTCAACATCTTGATATTAGACCCCATGAGATATATGTATCTTGATGACTATCTAGTCATGCATGCTCATTCATAATTTTTAACTGTATGTTGTGTGTGGTCCATGACATAGCATACATGCATAATTTCCATATTGATATCTGAAAACACTTTTGAAAAGTATGCATACGTTTGAGCACGCATCATGTAGGCATCCCTTGGTTACCAGGGTATGGGACACTTGGCTTCAGTCCACTTAGGTTGCAGATGGAACCCTCTTGAGGAGCCACTATGGGATCTCCACTGTACTTGTGAGTACAGGCACGACGGTGCTGTAAACGTACACTTTTGGCGTTATATACGCATCTTGATTAGTAGTTTTGGCGATATATACGCAATATGATAATGTTTAGTATCTGTCGAATTTAACTTGATGATGCGACTGCTTTGTAGTTCTGTATCTAGTTAGTACTATTGCATTATTGGTTTTGTTGTCACACTATTGAGATTTTTCTCACCCCTTTGGGGCTGTAATTTTTATAAAATTGCAGGAGGACGCAAAAGCATTTGAGGACGTGATTATATGGATATTTGCTGTAATTGCTACTGTTTGAACTTGCTGCTGTTACTGTTTTATTTGATGGATGACTGTATTATTTCGAGAAGTTTGGATTACTGTTGAACCTATGTTTTAGCTACTGTTTTAAGACTTTTACGTTCAGTTCGTATCTTGGAAAAATTCTGAAAACGTTTGTGAAAATATTTTTTGAAAATTTTATTAAGTGCGGATTTATAAACAGTTTTGCGAGCATTTTGTGAGTTACGTTTCGAGGGGCAAACGACCTCCGATTTACTATTATTTTATATGCACGCGAAGCCTCAGATGTGCTCTTTCTATATTACAAAGAATATTTTTGTGGATCGTTGAACTTGATTTTATATGAATTTTTCAAGACAGCAACGTCTGTCAGGAAAATAGTATTTTCAGCAAGTTAAGAAATTCTGAAAGTGCACTCTGATTTTTGTAAGTGACTCGACTTCAATTATAAGTTTTAATTAGCAACATCAAAATGATTTTTCAGTATCAAAGTAATGACGTAAAAAAAAACTC